AGTATAAAATGTAGATCTTCTTCAGATCTTCTTCAATTAAATTATTTAACAAATTTTGAATTAAAATGATTCTTCACTAAATTAATTATTTTTAATAATTTTAATGAAATACATCACAAATTCAATTATATCAAAATTATTTTTCAATTAAAATTTTTATGAAATTTAACAATTGTTTATAATTTTAAAAAAAATATCACAATAATATTGAATTATTTTTTAAAAATTTCAATTCAAAATAAAGTAAAATTCAATTATTACCAAACATTTTAATTCAAAATCAATTAAAAATCCAATAATTATCCAAAATTTCAATTAAAATTCAATTATTTCCCAAAATTTTCAACTCAAAATGAACTGAAATTTAATTATTTTCCAAATTTAAAATCAAATAAAATTTAATTATTCTCAAAAATTTGAATTCAAAATTAATTGAATTTTCAATAATTTGAATTTAAAAGCATCTAAAATTTAATTATTTCTAAAATTTTCCATCGAAAAATTTTTTTTTGAAACTTAATAATTTCAATTATAACTCTAAGGAAATTCAATTATTTTTAACTATTTTAATAATATTCTTTGAAATGTCAACTATCTGAAACCATTTTTTAATTAAAAATGATTTTCAAATTATTGTATTTTTTCCGCATTTTCTAATAAATTTTCAGTGAAATCATCTAAAATTTTAATTACAAAACACTTAAAGTTTCAATTAATTTCAAAAATCTCAATTTTAAATCTTTGAAAATTCAATTAAATTTAAAAAATGTTTTCCAAAAATAGTTTGATAAATTATTTTTAGTTCTGTAAAATTTAATAATTGTTTGAAAATTAACAATACTTTTTGAAATTTAATTATTTCTAAAAATTTCAACTTTAACCCTTTGAAAAGGATTATTATTAAAAAAAAAATTTTATTTAAAAATCTGTAAAATATTTTTGTTAAAATAAAAAACAAATCCACTTTTTTTTGGAATATCAATCGACTGAAACGACTTTTTGTGTCTTTAAATTGATTCGAGGCCTGTGTTTTTATAATTAATATTTAATAGGTATTCGTTGGCCCCTGGTTCCTTAAAAATAAATTTTTAAAAATAAATTTTTTCAAATTACTATCTTGTACGAAATTTCCTGGTGCATCTTTTTTCTCATCACAAATTTTTTGTATTTGTATACAATTTTTGAATCAATATACAACTTTAAAAAAAATTTCGTTGGTAAACGTTGTGTACTTCAGCTTCGTGAATTGAATTTTCGAATTTGGAATTTTAAAGAAACTTATTCCGAAATTTGGAAACACAATTATACAACTTTGGCAAAAATGAGAAAAAGAATTGTCAAAATTTGACACGTCATAAGATTACTATTCAAAAAAACACGTGAAATCAGAATAGGCCAACTTCAAGTTAGGACAGAAGGACAGACTAAGCATTTTATTATTATATAATTTATTTATAATTTTAATTTATTTATTTATTTATTTTTTATTTATACCAATGATTAATGATTCGAATTTTTCATATATTTACAGTATTAGCTTGTAATAAATTAAAATATCATATCAAGTTTTAACTATCATCACTACAAAAGATAAAAAAAATATTTTGAAAAATTCCTTTTGTGCAACTATATATCCCAACTTTCAGTTAAAATTGAGTAAAATGTCCGGAACAAATTTTCTCCGTGTAGTTTTATAATTTTCGTAGAATATTTGAATCAATGAAGAAGATTCTAAAAATTATCATTCAATTATCTTCTGAAAGAAACTGATTCATTGACGATAAAGAGGTAAAGTTAGAAATGACCAAGTTGTAACCTTGATTTTGAGAGATCGTAAACATCACTGCGAATCAAGTAAACATTGAATGTTTATAAGTTTTATAAATGTAGTAACAAACGTGTATGGAAAAAAAGAATTATCCCAGATAATTATTTATAACTATATATTATAATAAAATATTAATCATTTTTTGTTAATGGAAATAAACAGATGATACGAAAAGGTTTTGAAAAATATAAAATTATTAATGTGTAAAATATTTACTGTTGTTTCTAAATTTTATGATGAATAATCGATAATTAAGTGAACTGGCTGAGGCCACATCTCACATGACAAAATAATTTATTGCTCAAGTGCATCTCATTATTATATAGCCACATATATGTAACTGTACGTGCAGACTCTTCTGATAATATTGTTTATTTTGATTTTAGAAAAACATCACGTATTTTCTACATAGTATCATCTAAACGTGTATATTTTCTTTGAATTTGAAAATTCAGGAAATGATTTTGCAATATTTTTAATTTTTAATAAAGTGGTTTTCATTCATTGGAAGAGAAAATTGCTATCTTGAAATAACTTTGATATCGGTACGTATATGCATATATATGTTGATAAAAGATACCTAATATTAATTAAACCATTGAAACTCTTTTAAAATTTTAATTCTTAAAATTAAATTAATTTTTAAAATTTTTTAAGTAATGAAATAATAACTCTGTAACATTTATATTATTAAGTAACATATTTTCGCAAAAACATTTTTGATTGTACAATCGGAAACAAAAATTCTTTTGTTCTGTCCATTATAGTTGAACCTATAATCAAATTGAATTTCCTAAGAGCTTTAGGTATACATTTTTTTGTAAATAGAAATAAAAAAATCATTATCATCTTTGGTTTAAATTTCGGACTGATTTTGGATTAAATTCAATAGTTCAATAATTTGAAATTTAAATGAAATCAATCCATAATTATTTCACAACAATCCGAATTTAGTTTGATCAAAATACTTAAATTAAAATGAGTCCAGAATAATCTGGAATTTGTATGTAGACAATCCGTAATGAGTATGCAACAATCCAGATTGACTGCGGTCAAAAACTTTACTCCGAAATGGGATCGAAATAATTCGAAATCTATAAATTATGTGGAAAATCCGGTTTTAGTCCTCAATAATCTTGATTTAGTCTGTTCAAAAATACTTATCCGAAATTTGTATGCACAAAATCAGCAGTCCACATAAATTATGATTCAGTTAGATCGACAATTTGGATTTAAGCAGGGCAAATTATTCGGACTTGTTTTAGACTGTAGTGACCAGAAATGCGGATTTCTTGCATACAGATTTCGAATTATTTTGACCTCATATATGATTCAGATTTTTGTGCAGATTTGTACAAAGTTTTTAGCTTGCGTAAGTAAAAAGTACTGTTGATAGATATACTTCCGAAGTAGGGGTACCTCCGATTTTAATAAAACTTGGTATACTAACGCATTTTGGTGCGCTGATTACGAAAATGATAGTGAAAATTGGCGCAAATTTGATTATCATGGTAAAAACCATAAAAAAAACACAATAAAATCATGGTTTTTTGCAATTAACTCGTAAAGAACGCAAAATTTCGAAAAATGTTTTAGACAAAAGTTGTAGATCTCAAAAAAACACACATTTTATGTCGTATACATTTTTTACCAAAAGTGATTAGTTTTCGAGAAAAATCCAAAAAACCATAACTAACATAAAAAATAATGGAAAAATAGTGCGGACAAAGTCAGGTGGTATCCACAGCAGTATTTCATGTAATCTGATAAATCTGATAAAGTATTACTCTGTTTATGTTTTAAAGAAACCTTAGCGGGGGGGATAGGAAATGGCCGAAAGTATTCTGCGGACAAAATTAGGTAGGATCCAAAGCAGCAGTTTTCACGATTAGAAGGAAGCATTTGTTTAATTGTATACTTGGGAAACGGTGAGTCCTAAACTAAAATTTATCAATTTGTACATATTCTATGACCACACAATTTTTAACATTGTTATTGTCAGCAAAATTTATCAATTTGATCCCACATGATTTGCGTATGTGTGATTGTACGCAGGTTATAAATTTTATTTTGTTAAATCGAAAATTATTGTAAAATTAATTATATGTATACCTACAGTTTACTCTCTATTATGTCAATTTCTATTGCTTATATTTAATTAAAAATAATTAAAAAATTAATTTTTCTTTTAAAGACATAAAAAATTCTTTACATCTACTGAACTGACGGACTACTACTAAAATTAAATATAAAAAGGAAAAAATAATGTACTTCTAAAGTATATATTCAATTCATTTAATCATATTTTATTAGCTTTGTACAATGTTCAATCATTCTTAGCGCACTTGAAGCGACGTACTAATCTGGTATTAATCGTTGATATTGATCAAAAACATTATCTTGAAATTTTAAGCGGGGAATTTTTTGTAGTCGGTTATACGCCTTTTATATAGATATTTTATTTTTATCACGATGTGAAAAAACTATTTTTTCCATATACGATCCTTAAGATAACATATTTTTGTAAATGATGTAGTGTAGATACACTTATATTTATGTTTAATAAGGGAATCACCTTATTGGCAGTCATTTTTTCGCTTGTTTTGAAATTGTTGTATGTCTTATAAATTTATAATATGCCTTAACCTTTTCTTTCAACACTAATGATACTACTTCAAAAATGTTTCTTTTAACAAAAGAATTACTTTTTCCAAATATGAGATTTTTATAAAAATAATTTTTTTAACAAAATATACGAAAACTTGTGCATATCACAGGTAATCGTTATAATTATATTGCTTTTGACTTCTCCACAAAATTTCAGCTTTGTCCATTAAATATGTAAAGAAAACCTAGTATTACGAAGAACATTGACCTCTGGAATCACGTGACATAATATTCATATGTTCTTATCATTTACATGTCCTTTAATGAAAATCATGCAAAAAGACTTTGAGTTGATTTTAACAAAATTAGGGAGAGTCCAGAATAAGTGGTTTCTGAATGTCGATGTATCATTCTGTCTTTGTCTTTCCCATTGATGTCCCATAAGACCGACGCGTCGCTATCAATGCGTCAACGTTCAGAAACCCGTATTCTGGACTCTCCTTTATTAAATTTTTATTACAACTACGATTGATTATAGAATCGTTTGTCTCAATAGTATACTAACTTTTCTTTCTGCGTAGGTTTCGAATTATAAAATTTGGCAACTAAATTTCTGAATGCTGAACACTGTAGTAAAAATTAATGCTATTAACGCACTGTTACACACTGGGTTACAAAAACATGGTCAAGTCGTGTTTATTTAAAATTTTTTGTGTTTATTGGAAGTTTAGGTGTCACTGAACAAGAATATACACTGGAGTCTCCCAAGAGAGGACTTCTGAAGAGAGGACTAAGTAGTGACGCGGCGCGGTAAGGAGTGAGGGGGGAAGAGATGGGCGGGATCAGAAAGAGGAACGTGAACTCAGGAGCGTTTGTTTTTAGTGTACCTTTCTCGCGTAGTGTTTTACATACGTAACAGAATGTATTCTGTTAAAAAAAACACATCTCTGTGATACGATATACGGCCCTGGAGTGTTTACAATTTTCGGCGTCAAGGACGAATTCCGTAGAGAGGTCCAAGACTCTTTCTGTCCTCTCTTCGGAGACTCTAGTGTACCCAAAAAAAATTTTTCATTCGGTCAGTTCCGTAGAAAACGAGATTAAAGTGTCAAAAAATCGCTTTTTTAGCACTTTTTGAAGCATTGTAAAACGAAAACGCAACAAGATAAAAACCTTCACGAGGGCTTGAATGAAAGCTTAAACCTTCAACTTTGAGTCCCAAAACTGAAAAGTGCATGATAATTGCGCAGAAAATTTATTTAACATGAAATAACTATCTCAAATAGTCAAAATAGTTGGGATGGAGAGCACTTGTTAAAAATCGATTTTCATTACCGAATTTATTTGGAACTTGTTACTTGGAAGTTTTTAACGTTTCTATTGACGTTTCGAAAGTTGGATTTAAAAAATTAAAAATGGCGTTCAAATATTTCAAAAAACCCCGAGGAAAAAACTGCGAAAAAATTCACTCAATTTTTGAAATTTTTGAACGCCATTTTTAATCCGCCATTTTGAATTTTTTAAATCCAACTTTCGAAACGTCAATAGAAACGTTGAAAACTTCCAAGTAACAAGTTCCAAATAAATTCGGTAATGAAAATCGATTTTTAACAAGTGCTCTCTATCCCAACTATTTTGACTATTCGAGATAGTTATTTCATGTTAAATAAATTTTCTGCGCAATTATCATGCATTATCAGTTTTGGGACTCAAAGTTGAAGGTTTAAGCTTTCATTCAAGCCCTCGTGAAGGTTTTTATCTTGTTGCGTTTTTGTTTTACAACGCTTCAAAAAGTGCTAAAAAAGCGATTTTTTGACACTTTAATCTCGTTTTCTACGGAACTGACCGAATGAAAAATTTTTTTTGGGTATATTCTTGTTCAGTGACACCTAAACTTTCAATAAACACAGAAAATTTTAAATAAACACGACTTGACCATGTTTTTGTAACCCATAGTGTAATCTATATGAAGGTTGGACGAAAGTGCTAACTAAATCAATAAACCAAATTTAGTAGGGTGAAAAACAGTTTCATTTGTATTTTTTGATAAAGTCAAAAAATGGTCTAACAATAAGTACACGTCATATGTTTCATTTTTTTCAAACTATGACGTTTTTATTCCTCCAACAACAATTATTGCCGAACAAGATTATTTTGTTAACAGGAAACTAATATTTTTTCTCTGCATAAAAGAGAGTCAAGTCAATACAAAAGAAAATCATAATTCTAGGTATAAAGATAATAATTAATTTCTTTGAGTTTCCTGTTTTCTCAATATTGACAATGTGCACTCTTAATCTCTCTTTATATAAGTAGGTAAACTAGTCTGAACCAGTGATAAGCAATTTATATCAGCGATTGAAATATCGCATGGTCGTATATAAGTGAAAAAAGTTGCATCCAATCGGCACAATTTAGTAGGGTTTAGTATGGGTTATTAAAATTAAATTACAATCCATTCAGCAGCTAAAGTTGCGACAATATTTGCAGAAATTGACATTAATATTTTAATACTGCAAAAATATAATGTCAATAGTGATGCAATGTTGGTAATATTAATTTCTGCAATTTTAGGTATTGTATAGAGGGAAAAAAATACAAAATATATTTATTTATACAAAACTATAATAATATAATTACTCCAATCTAGAAAACCCATCCGAGTTTAAAAACTGTTCGTCACACGTTGACGTCAGTCAAAAAAATTTTAACGCCAACTCACAGAAACTTAAAATATGTAGTTTCTATAATCTAAATATGTAAATTTCATATGCTGGACATAGATAATCTCAAGAAAGTTATTGTCATATGCGTGCAGAAGTTTCTGTGAATTTATCAAGAAATTTGTTTTCATTTATTTATAAAATATACACTAAAGGCATAAATAATGCAATACTAATTCAGGCAATAAAGTAATACTTAAAATTTCTGATTAAAATTATACAACTTGTACAGTTTTTAATTTTCCAGGGAGATTATAAGTGCAAAACTATTTCGAAATTTAATGCTTTCCCAAATTGTCAATTTTAACTTGTAAAAACTTAGTTTATGTAATCATCGACCAACACACAATTCTAGAGATTCGTTGCGGTGAGTTAATAAACCGTCACGTCGGGTTAATTCGGAATTCTCAAAGACATGTTTCAAGTTTTCTCACGTGTCTTTGGAACATGTAGTATCTTGCACATGCACATAGTTTTACTGTGTCAATAAAAAGAATATTTTAGCACTAGCACGTTTGTCTTTTTCTGATCAGCTTCCTCGGAGCTGCATCCCCAGTTAGATAATTCTGAAGATTTTCATGTTCAAGGTATGTTTGGAATCGCTTTATACTTTTTTTTCGAAAGTTTATGGTTCTGGTTCCTGGTTAGGAACTCTATGTCAGTTTTTCAAAGTTCAAAATATCGGATCCAATATAGCGAACACATTTGTGTTGACACAGTAAAAATATCAGCATGCTTTGACAGACAATTGTGCAGTGTAAAATTGTGCATTGGGTTATTAAACGGAAAAAACAAACTAGCCTTTTTAGCATGAAACTGCTTTATCCTTTAATAGCAGGTAACTTCTTTTACTAAATAAGTACAATAGTTATACTATTATGGTAAGAATGACGTACTTTAAAAGCATAAAATTCATGCCCGCGGAGTACGACATATATAGTCTACCTAAAATAGCAAGAGCTTCTTCCTTTTTGGTGCTTAAATTCTTGCAACCTGCGTTTTGACCACGCACGTTTCATGTTTGCATCCATGTTCTTAAAATGTTCCAGAACATTATTTGACGGACATGAAACGTTCTAAAAACATTCTTAAAACGTTTTTAGAATGAACATGGTTTTTTGCCCACTGGGTTGTTTCTGTAGAATCAACAAAATTATAATTCTTAAGACAGCAAAGAAGTGACAAAAAATCATCGTCAAAAGTCAAATATTCGGCGAATATTTTCAATTTTTTTGAAAAATTATATGTTTACAATGCGTAGAATTAATATCAAAAGGAAAATTCCAGCTGCCAGTATACTTGTACATTAAATCAGTTTAAAACCCCCCGTGTATATATGTATATGTGCTGTGTCCCCCAATTTGGTGCCCTATGCAGCTGCACATCTAATACACAAAGTAGGAAAAAGAACAAAGAGTAAAAATTTTGTATTTTCTGAAACTATGTTTCAAGACTTTTAAACAGTTTAAACAAACCTACAAAAAAGTTAACTTATATATATATATCTAATAATAAATGGGCTTGGAAAATGAAATCATTTTAGCTTTCATATAAATTCTGTTGAACAACATTTTTTTTATATTAATTAATAAACGCGAAATTTATAACAATTAGAAATTTTTGTCACATTATCAAAAAGCTTTAATGTTTTGAAAATTGTAATATTTAGAGTTTAGATCAATAAAACATTTGAACTTTTGGAAATTCGATCAAATAGCTATTTGAACTTTTAGATATTAAACGTTGTATATAGTTATTGGAACATTTGGAAATTCGATTAAACAAACATTCGAACTTTTGGAAATACCATGAAATAGGGGAATATAGTCATGAGTGGACCACTTTTTGTTTTTCATTTTTAAATTTTTTTAGAGTAAATAATTTTTTCTGTCATATAAAAATTTTCTACAACTTTCTTAAAAAGTGGTTTTTTTTCTATTTTCTTTTGTAGTCATGAATGGAAAATGAGAACCCAAAACTTTTTTGCTGTTTCACGTTAGGTTATTTTTTCAATCATCTATTCTGAATACAAATATGCGTCCTTTCAGTTTGGATTTTCATTAAATATATAGTTTTGAGACAATGCGTACCTATTACCTACAATAAACATTTTTATGCAAAGACTTATTTTTACATAAAATACCAGGCAGTGGTCCACAAACGACTACATTCCCCTATATAAACATTTGGACATTTAAAAATATTCGATTAAATAAATATTTTTAAATTTGATTTCGAACTCTTTTTAAGTTCATCAACATCGCTTGAAACTTATATTACTCAGGGATTTTCACAGTCGAATATTTTTGGACAGAAAACGTACCATTCTAAAATATTTTGGCCAGGTACAAATATCACGTCAAAAATATCTGACATTTGACACGGTGACGTAAATTTAAAAAAAAAACAAAATGGCGCAATAATATTGTGGATTAAAGCTTAATTTTTAATAACAAATATGTAGCTAGTTTCAGAAAATTTTAAAAATCACCGAATCCACTCAAAAATTGTTACTCGGGGGTTTTCGGGGTTGCTGATTACGAATTTGAGGTCAATTGTCAAAAAATCAAAATGGCGGATCCAATATGGCGGACGTGAATGTTAAAAAATCATCGGATCCACTCCAAAATCATTCCTTGGGGGTTTTTGGGGTCGCTGATTACGAATCTGAGGTCAATTTTTAAAAATTCAAAATGGAGGATCCAATATGGCGGACGGCAATGTTAGAAATTCATCGGATCCACTCGAAAATCGTTACTCGGAGGTTTTCAAGGTCGCTGATTACGAATTTGAGGTCGATTTTCAAAAATTCAAAATGGCGGATCCAATATAACGGAATTTAAAAATGTTATCCAATTCTATTGCTACTCGGGGGTTTTTGGGGTCGCTGATTTAGAATCTGATATCAGATTTTAAAAATTCAAAATTCATTTCGTTCACAACAACTCATTTGTATTAATTTCATCTTATTATAAGAAAATTGAATGAGACTTTTGTTCTGCTATACAAAAGAATTGTAATAATTTAAAAATAAGTTGAAATATAAATTTTTTTTAAATACAATGGTGAGTGCGGTCAGTTTGGGGATAAATATTAAGGATTTTCGCTGTTGAATGGAGCAGCGCGTAGTCGCCCTCGCCCCACGTGGCGCGGTGGGGTTCTCCCCGGCTTATCTGCGGTGACTTTATGTATATTACGATACGCTGAAGCAGAAACACGAGTAGTTCACCGCTGGCTAACAAGTTGACGAGACGCAACGAGAGAGAAGCAGTACCGCGCGTCAGCTGGTAGCGCGACTTTCTCATTCCTTGGTAAAATCATGCAGACACCTGCAGTTATCTACAGTTTGCTCTGAACTGCCAGAGACTCGATATCCTCACGGAGAAATTTTTCTTTTCAATTTTCAATCTATATAAATATATATTCGCTCATCGTTTAAAGCGTATCAAAAGTTATTGGATGAAAAGTGCAAATTTCAAATCTGCAAGGATTTCTAGTTAAAAAAAAAATATTCAGTGTTTACTTATTCAACAAGTGTTGCCGTGAAATTTAAAAAAAATCCAATTTTTTTTTCAACACGTGATAAAACACACAAGAACAAAGCAAAAATATGATTCTTTTTGCGTGGTCCCTCTTTTTGGTCCTCTCATTGATGCTGAAGACATCTCAAACTGTACTCACCGGTTCCCTAACAGGTAAGAGGAGACATGTAAATATATATATATATTTTTTTTTGCGAAATTCAAGTTCTCTCGATTATGAATAAATTATTTAACTTGTCAACATTTTTACCTATATGGTGTATTCTAGTTTTTGCTGTAAGTCAGCTTCTATATACATGTGTTGCAAGAACTTGGTTTAACTATGATAAACAACAGGCCATGGTGCCTTTTTCTCTTTCATTTTAAATCATAATATTTTTTATGTGCAATTAAAGCGTGTATTACAAAGAAATTGCTGACGAAATTATTTCCAATTTTTTTTTTAAATTTATATATGAAAAGTTTTGTTGAAAAAGAGTATAAAGGAAGAAAAATTTCGAAATTTTTGAATAAAAAGTATTTTTTTCTAGTTGATTTTTCTTTAAGAAGAAAATTATTTAATTTTAAAGAGATCTTTTTTCATTAACTTTTGAGTTATATAAAAAAGGGAAAAGTGATTTAAAAAAAAATGTAAATTCTGAAAAATATTGTAGAATTTTATTCTTACATTAAAGTGTTCCCTCTAAATTTTAAATAGTAAGTTTTGCTACTTTTAACAAATTTTACATAGAGAAAAATTTTATATTTGAACCAAATATAAAGTATTTGAATAAAAATAAAAATATATATCTTTGGCAAAATGTTACACACAGAAAGAAATATATTTTTCTTCAGAGATATAAATAAAATTTATTTGGTTCAAATAAAAATTTTACTTACACCAAATAAAAATGTTATTTGTGCCAAACCAAATTTTTATATTTGAAGCAAATCAATAATTGTTGAGCTCAATAAATAAATAGTTATTTTTTAACTCAATAAATATTTATTTGTTTCAAATATGAAAATTTTATTTGGCACAAATAACATTTTTATTTGGCGTAAATAAAGTTTTTATTTGAACGAAATAGATTATATTTATATCTCTGAAGAAAAATATATTTTTTTCTGAGTGTAACATTTTGAGTTAGTATGTCTGTTCCCATATAATAACTGACAATAAAACTATATCTAAGCAATCGATTTTTGTTGTACATAAAATTATTGGAAAAAAGAAGTCCACTTCGTATGATATATTATGAAATTCACTATATATAGCCGCAATCACTTTTCATTTAAAAATTTTTTTTTTTAATTTCGATGAATTAAGCTAAAATTAAATTAAATTTATTACATTAAATTAATGAAATTTATAATATTAAATAAAAATTTAATTTTTAAAAAAATGTTAAAGTGTATAGGAATTTTTAAAGTTTTGAGTTTATTTAGTTTGTAAAGAAATCTCGGATAAACAATCGGAATAAAAGTTAGTCCAACTTCATATTTTTTTGAATTTTTTATTAAAAAAAACAATTTATACTTTAAAAATGTGTCTAGTTCAAATGAAAAAAAAATTTTTTAAACCATTTAAACTTACATTGTAATAAAAATTACAATTTTTTGCACCCAGAAAAAAATTATATTTAAACCAAATATATTTTATTTGAGTTAAATAAACGTATATTTGTCTCAGCACCAATTAGACTTTTTATTTGTTTTAAATAAAAATTTTATTCCACATAAATAAAACATATATTTGAGACAAATAAATTTTTATTTAAACCAAATAAAATTTTATTTCAAACAAATAAAAAGTCTAGTTATTGGTGCTGAGACAAAAAAATCTTTTCTCTGGGTGCATAAAAAACGATTTAAGCAACATAACCTTAAATTTAAAGTATCGTTTCTAACACCTAGAAAAAACATTCCTTTGATTTAAAGAAATCAATTTCTTTGAATTTTTCTTTCATTCAAAGAAAATTTATTTGTTTTAAAAAAATTATCTTTAATTCAAAAAAAAATTATTTTCGTTTCAAAGAAATTTTTTCTTTAATTCAAATAAATGTTTCTTTGACCTTATATCAATGTTAAAATTTCTTTAATTTAATGCACAATTTTCTATCATTCAAAGAAATTTTCTTTGAAACTAAGCAACTTTTTTTTTGTTTCATATTTTGAATGAAAGAAAACATGTCAAAAAAATTGGTTTCTTTAAATCAAAGAAATCTTTTCTTTGGGTGTATAATAAGAAATTTTATATTAAAAAAAAATTTTTTTTACTCTATGCTCACACTTTTATTTAGAAAACTTTTTAATTATTATTATTATTATTATATTAAAAAATACGAAAATATGTGCGGTTGGACTAACTTTTGTTTTGACTGTCCATCCGATTATTCATTAATTATTCTATACGTAGAAAAATAATTCTTCTCTGCGATCTTTTGATATTAAAAATAATTTTTTAAATATATAAATTAAACTAAAAAAAAATTTTAAAAAGACAATAAATAAAATAAAATAATTTTAATGTAAATTTTGAAAAAAATATTAAATTTAGACACATCTTATCACAAAGTATAAAGATAAAAAGTAAAAAAAAATGTAAAATTAAAAATAAATTTATTTATTTATATAAACATTTTTGTAACCAAAAAACTGACCTTTGTGCTGATTTGTCATGAAAACCATTTTATTCAGATTATATATATATATATATAAAACGTCTCCAATGATATGTTTTTCCGTCACATCAGCAAAACAAATAAATTTATTCTATAGGAATTTCTTGTTCGTCTGTCTGATCTCAAGATATTTGCGCATAAAAAACATTTATTTTTACATATATTCTTATCATATATATGAGATGCTATATTTGACTCACAATTGACTTTTGCTATTTTTAACTAATCTTTATGTTTTGTTATATGTCCAACTGGAGTCCGATAATCATATTCTGTCGATCGTGTCCATTCATTTGTGTGTCTGTTTGCATAAATGCATAAAGTTTTAAAAAAACTAAAAGAAGTATATTTAGGTTTCTGTCATCTAAATCTTTTTAAAATTATTAAACTATAATAAAAGATAACTCTATAGAAGAATTTAAACTTATATAAAAATAAAAATCAACTTGATTCAGAATAATATAAATTTTTTTTTTGTAAATCATAAATCAAAATTAACATTTTTAAATTAAATTTTTATTAAAAAATGTTTTCTCAAAGATTGTATTGTGTGTATAAATTTTTTTTATATTAATTTCTTCTTTAATGGTGTTCTAGTAAACATTATGCGGCGCGAACTTTTCAAGTCTATATTATTTCCTTTGTATAGTATAATATAATGCTTGGGCGTCAGCAGACTGGCCGGTTTAAATAACGGTTTTGCGGTCTTTTTAAAACGAGACACTGACTTTAATCATCTTAAATTTGCAACTGTTTCACGAGAGTTTGTGCACGAATGCTATATACTAATAATATTGTCATCAAAATTAATTTGCCATTCAACATTAGATTTGTCAGTATAATTTCTTTTCAGAATTATTACAAAAAAATAATAGTAATTTTATTTTCTTTACACAATTTCATTCTCTCTAAATCTGAATTAGTAAAAAGTGAGGTACTAATTTAAATTAGTAACAATTTTCACTAATTTTTAGTAACTTTTTACTAAAACTTTAGTCAAAAAATTTAAAACTACCTACTGAATCAAATAGTAATATTTTACTAAAAATTAGTAAAAATTCTTACCAATTTAAATTAGTAGCTCACTTTTCATTAATTCAAATTTAGAAAATTCTATTAGTTTAGTTTCAAAAAAGCAATAGTAAATAAAATTTTTCGTTTATTTGAACGTTCATAACTTAAGGCATATCTTTTATTTGCATTTATTCGAGGCAAATTAATTTTTTTTTAATCCAATAAAAATATATTTGTCTCAGAGACATAATGATTTTTTGTTTCAAATAAAAAATTTAATTTAGCACAAATAAAATTTTATTTAGCGAATATCAAATTTTTATTTTAACCAAATAAATATTTATTTGACTCTGAGACACAAAATATATATATATTCTTTCTCTCGATGTTCGTTGAATATGAATTACGTTTTGAAAATTTTAGGTGATCTGTTTACAAAAATCTGACCAAAAAAACCTATAAAATTGATTTTATTAAAAAATAAAATTTAAATAAAAATATTAAATTGGTTGCGACTGTTTTTTTAAATTATTTTTTGCACGTTTGTTATTATTATTGTGAAATGAGTTTTTAAATATGTTAAATATTATAGATGTTATGACGAGAATAATAATTTAATGGCTTATGCTTTAAAAAATTAACATACAGTTAAAAAATATTATCATAAAGCCATATATTAATTTGCAAAACAATGACTTATTGAAGACTCTTGAAAAACGTGCATTATTCAAAACTGAACATAATTAAATAATTTATGTGGAAATCTTCAATGATCGAGAGAGTCAGTGAATTTTAATGACTACCCAACCAAAAATTTCAGTATTATACACGGAAAAAAATAAAAAGTAATTTTTACTACTTTCATAGTAAAACGGGATCTGTCCGAAGTTTCTGCGCATCTCTGGCAACTTTTACTCCAAAAATAGTAAAATTTACTCTAGAAATAGTAAAAATTACTACGGAACAGTAAAATTTACTACAAAAATAGTAAATTTTACTATTTTTGGAGTAAAAGTTGCCAGAGTTGCGCAGAAACTTCGGACAGATCCCGTTTTACTATGAAAGTAGTAAAAATTACTTTTTATTTTTTTCCGTGTACCAGAGTTGACTACTGGCGCAGTACTGGTTCAGTATTGGCTGCCGAGGCTGGGCAGTCTGTACAGAACCAGTACTGGTATTTTCATTGTATCCGTACTGGTGCAGTACCACCCTGTAAAAACTTAATATTTTTTAAAATAAAAATTTATAATCTAAATTTAATTTAAAAAATTAAATACAATCGCAAGTAAAATTGCACAAATGTTATATTATATCAATAATATAAAATATATAATTAACCTTTCTTAATGGAAATTATAAAAAATAGTTAAACCTACAAACTCTTATATATTTCAATGGTCAATAAAGTTATTGTAATTTGTTTCTTGATGTTATTCTTCAGTTTTTTTCTAATAGTGAATTATAAACAAAAATTTA